GCTTGTTTGCCTTTCTTAAGCCGCTTCTCAAAATGGCTTTGAAGATGCTTTAAAACCATTAATACCTAGATTCTTACATGGGGTCAGGATCACTAAGTACAAGGTAAGTATTTCACTTGTGAGGGAGAAATTTCTCACAGTAACTTGTGAAATTTACAGCTATTCGGTATATGTTTAACAGCACATTTAAATGTTAAGCAAAACCTAGGGAATCCCAGTCCTTGGAGTATAACAGTTAATCGAAGTCGTTGTGCCAAACACGGTACATAAGTTCTCACTTAATCCTAACAGCAATCTAAATATGGGCATTAGCCATGTTCTGCTATTACAGGTCAAAGTTGCAGTTTGTGCAGACAGCAATTTAGAGTATTTAATTTCTTTAGGCGAAATCCTCACAGTAAAATTACAGGGTAAAAGCCAATGAAAAAATCCTGTACATGTTGCCAAAATTGCTTTCCAAAATGGTTTTAAATTTAGCAAGGCCCACAAACAGCCGATTACTGGTTCAGGATATATCCAAAGTTTCATTAATGAAGTTAGCCATTTTAGTGCGTCTGTTAGTGCATGCTATGGGCTGTTTGAAGGGCTGTGCCCCCCCCCCATATACTCATGCGTTTAAGTCCTAACTTCCACTCCCTCAGAACGTGACTGTATTTGTAGTGTGGACTGAAAAAAATGCACAATGTGAGAGTAGTGAGGTAAGTTTTATTTGGGGCAAAATGCCTGGGGAGACAGCCTCTCAGCTCTGAGGAACTGCTCCCAAGAGGTAGGGGGAGAAGTTAGTGTTATATATGATTTTAGTGAAGGGGGATATGTGCAGTCAAGCACACCTTTTGTCAGAGGGTTGCTGCTAGTCACGAGGAGCAGGTAGGTGTCTCCATTAATGATTTTAGTGCTTTTCTAGATATGAGAAGATGCAAGAAATTGGGCTCATAAAATCTTCTCCTGAAAATATCTATCCGAAGGCCTGTTCTGCCTGTTTTCCCCAAAGCACAGGGTGCCTCATTCCTGATCTCCACTCTGAACTCCTTTCAAGGTGTGTTGAAAGTCAGTGACTGCAGTGGCTAGTGACTTCACTCTTATACACTAGAGCCAGATGGTAAGCGACAATTTTTAGTTGGCAGTAAATAGGGTCTTTACAGAGGTAATATGATTAAATGAGGTCATTAGGGAGGGTCCTAATCCACTTTAGCTGGTGTCTTTTAAAGAGATTGGGAAACACACACCCAGAGGAAAGATGACGTGAAGACAGGAAATGGTCATCTACGTGCCAAGGAGAAAGGCCTCAGAGTAAACAACCCTGCCCACACCGTGATCTCCCAACTTGTCTCTAGAACCGTGAGAAACTTTTCTGTTGTTTAAACCACCCAGTCTCTGGTACTTTGTTTTGGCGGCTCTAACTAAATTAGTGCATAACATTAAAAATTTGTTATTTTGGTGGATACTTGTAACTTTATTTTCTAATTAGTGAAGTTGCACATTTTCTCTTGTGACTTGTCCATTCATACCTTATTGCTTTTCTGTACAGTTCTCTTTTGTCCTATTTTCATGCAGTTAAACCTATTCCATCTTTACCTCTGTCAAGTTTGTAAACTGAGAAATTCCTTTCTTCTTCAGAGGAATTCTTTGAAATGTTTTAAATTTTTCTTCTGTTTTCTTTAAAAAGGCAACTCTTTTATCCATCTGGAATTTTGGTATATCATGTGAGGTGAAATTCTTTTGCTTTTTTTTTCTCCATGTCATTTACTGGTTATCCTAACACAATTTATGGAATAACTTTTTTTTTTGGCTGCACTGTGCAGCACAGGGGATCTTAGTTCCCTGGCCAGGGTTCAAACTCATGCCCCCTGCAATGGAAGCACAGTCTTAACCACCACCAGGGAAGTCCCCTCTTCTCTTTTTAAAGTGATTTTTGGATACTGCTTTAAATAAACTATGTATACACTACTGTTTACACTCTATTATTCTAGTCTTATCCCTCACACATCACAGTTCTAATATTGATATTTGCAGCTTTATAAAGATTGGGATTAATTCCTTTTTCATTATATTTAAAAAATTTTCCATTATCATGTATTCTTCTAGATTTGCTTTATAATTATTATATGGAGTATCACTACCTGAACCACAATTGGTACAAATTGAATTTAAAGAACCACCAATCCATTAGTGAAATAGTAACTAATCTATCCACTTTACTAAACTGATTAAAAGTTGAGTCCTTTGTATTAAAATTTATCTATTTACATGTCTCTTAGGTCCTTAGACTGTGCTCCCATGGAGTAGACAGTGTCCGATGTCCTTTGTAGCCAAACCTGGAAGAAGCTCAATAAATTACTTACTAGTTTTAGTTGTTCAAACAACAAAAATACATGTCTTCAGAAATACCCACCATAGAGATTAAGAATGTGTTGCTAAATGGATTTGGAAATTTCCAAGTTCAACCAAGGTATGAATTACAACTCTTCAATTTGCCATTAACCAAAAGGTCTGCAAGCCTTCTACTCAAGAGCTCCAAACGAGGATCTAACAGGACTCAAGAATTCTAATGAATTCAGGTACAATTCAAGAATGGTGGCTGCAGCAAAAATAGCCATGAAGTCTTCCTTCTCCTGAGACCAAGGGAGACAAAGGGAGCAGCGAACAGGCAGAGAAGCAGCACAGCCGGCCCTGAGAGTTAATCATGTTGCGATGTAAATAGAAGTGAGTTTTCTTTCTCCTTCTCCTGAGAGCAAGGGGAAAAAAGGGAGCATCGAGCAGGCGAAAGAAGCAGCACAGCTGGCCCTGAGAGTTAATCACTCCTTGTTTAACTGTCACTAATTTGTAGTAAGTAGATTTGTATTTTACAAAGCGAACCTCACTCCCTGACACTAGGTAATTTACCTTCGGCACCCATCACCCCTGACTCTGTGTGTTACATACCCCACCTCTCACTCCCGGCACTTACATTCTACACGCCCCTTGTAACAAATCACCCCCTATAGTTTTTGAATTTCAGAGACAAGGTCACAGGCCGATAAACGAGAGGCAAATGGATGCGGTTACCAGACTGCCAGACTCCAATTACCAGGAAGCCTGACGCCAGCTATGACTGTTTTGAAATAATGCAAAGGAAAGGAAGCATGCAAGACCTTCACTACTTTGATCCTTACCATGTACCCCGGGCTGATCTAAAATCTCCCGATTCCCAAGGAGGGGGGGCACAGTTGAGGCGCTTTCTGTCTTCCCTTCTGCCTAGCAGAAAAATAAAGCCATCTCTCTCTTCCTCCAAAATCCCTGTCTCCGTATTTCTGTTCGGCCTCAGTGCACAGGGAAGCCGATTTTTCGGCAACATGGTGAAGCAGATTTCAGGCATAGTTTATACTATCCCTTAAACTCGTATGAGTTTTAACTCCCTTTGCTGTGAAACCATGATTATTTGGCAACTTCTGATAGTCTGGGTCAAGGGTTGGCAAACTTTCTTAAACGGCCAGAGAGTAAATATTCTAGGCTTGCAGGCTATTTGGTCTCTGGCACAGCCAATCATTTCTGCTCTGGTAGCACAAAACAACCAGAGCTACTGCATAAACATGGGAATGGCAGAGTTCCAAGAAAATGTTATCTGCAAAAACAGGTGGCCAGCCTGAGGGCTGCAGTTTGCCAACCTCTTGTCTAGTTGGGGAACCACATTACTTTCGTTTTAAAGAGAACTTGGGTTGATCAGCAATATTCTAGTCTTCTGAGTAGTTTATACTTACTGCCAAGTAATACATGGAACAGAATGTCAATTACCCAACTGCTAATGTGATCAGTGAACCAGTCAATTCAGTGTGAGTGGACAGAAATCAACGTTCTGGATTTTGATCCTCATGGTAGCCTACGAGAGGCCCAAGGGGGAGCCAGTATACCTCCCTATCTATGAGATCCTTATGGGTACAACTAAGCAGACATAAGAATGAGCTCGAAGAACCCAGAAATCATATCTGTACCACTAAAAAAATGGCACAGTTTGGAATAAAAATTGAGGCAATGTCAGTCAGTACAAAAACTTCCTGACAATCAGTAAAATACTCTTAAGGGTGGTGACAAAAATTCAATGACATGTTTGGAGAAGAAATATATCAAGTATAAGAAGTGGCAAACCAAATTCTGGCCTAAAAGAGGCCTTAATACTAATTCTAGAAACTAATGGTTAAATTAAAAGGGTGAAACAAAACATGAGGGCATTAGTGTAACTGGCCCCTCAGTTTAGTGTAAGGTATGGAAGGTACCAATAGTAACAAGAGAATAACTGCAAGCTAACTCCCTAATTGCAGTTAAGAAAGAATCAATTAGATCAGCCATCTGCAGAAATGATACAAACGAAGAAATGTTTGGTATCAGTTTTAGAAATACCCCAAATCTAACCTAGGTGATCTAGACAGTGAGTGGGACATAGTTCTTTAACAAATCAATGGTAGAGCCTGATAAATGGCCTGATTAGGTGAGAGCCCTGATATGGTTAAGAGCACAGCTTCCATTTACTTGCTACAGAACACTTACTACATGCCAGAAGCTTTATACACATTATTTCATTTAATCCTCACAAGAGTCATGTGAAGGATTATTTATGTATGAGAAAGTTAAAGCTTGGAGATATTAGCTTGCCTAAAGTTAATATTAGGGGGCAGAGCTGTGATTCAAACCCAAACCAGAACTCTACAACTAATTGTATTTTTCAAATGGATCATCTGTAGGACTCTATCCTGCATTATATTTCTTTTTTACCCTGCATTTTGAAAAGATATATATAGATTTTTTTAAGAGTTTTATTTATTTATTTATTTTTAACATCTTTATTGGGGTATAATTGCTTTACAAGAAAAGATGTATTTTTTTAAAATGTTCCATGGGCACATCAGTTGGGAAATTCTGAGTGTTTACTGTACTTTGAGACCTCTCTGAGCCTTTACTATAAAGACCAGGGAAAATAACAACTGGATTGACCGGCCTTTCTAGGCCATCTCTTTATTTGTCCTTCCTCTTTCTAACTGTATAAAGTAAATAATTAATAGAAAATAATATTTCCAGGATGTGGACTACATATGGTAGGAGCATGTAATTAGGGTGCTCAACAATGCCTGGATTTGAGACTCAGCATTTTAAAATGAATATTTATATGGAAAAACAAAATTAAACAGGGTTTTTAAAAAAAAATTAAAGAAATGCATTAGGTAATAGTTACAGTAAAGAATACCCTCTAAGAATAGGAGTAAAAGCTGTTTGGCTTCCCTTGGTACCACCAACTCATAGAAGATCTTAGCTGTAAACAAGTAGATCTTAGTTGTAAACAAGCTGTATAATGATGCAATCTCTGACATAATTAAAACTGGGTAAACCATAATAGGTGTGTTCCTTGAATAGTTTGCCAAGTATTTGTCCAGGTCTATTATAGCTACTGAGCAAATGGGTTGGCATGAATAGTTATGTCCTTAATGTGTACATCATTAAGAGGTCGATATGTCTTCTCATTTACTGGTAGCTTCTCCAATTCATCTAGAGTCTCCAGACCATCTATTACCCTGAAAGAGAAACAATATAATGTTTGAAAATATCCTGAGATTGAAACATAATATCCAAATACCTATAGCAATTACAGTCTCACCATGTCTCATAGTTCTTTGAATTCCCCAGTGGAGTGTACAATAAAATATCGCTTTGATTTTCTGCCATAGGTAGGGGCCAAAATTCAGAAACAAAAATTCATTTTTATGCCTTTAGACAATAGCAATGGAAAGGAATATTCCCACCAAAGTATCTAAACATTGCATTCGGCCTCATTCACATGGAATAGCTACAAATGGGGCCAATATAACCAGTCATAAGGTTTTCTTTGTTATAGGAAAAACCTGGAAAAAGTATGTAAGGATGACACTAGTATTATCAGTACTGCCCTACACTGAAGGTCCTGAAGTGGGTGGCCTCTTTGCACTTTATTGTTTAAATACAGTGTTTTTATTTTTTGCTTCTGGACAACAAAAAACAATATTCAGAATAGGAGAAGATAAGATCAACAGTTATGCCACTTCCAGCAAGCCCATTTCATGCTTCTATCAAGAAAAAATATATATATATTGAGAGCTATCCTTCTAATATGTTCTAGAAAGTTAGTCTAAAACATTTGCTAAGAAAAAGTGGCTTTTTAGATAATACCTCCTAGTGCAATTCAAATCAATTCCTAAGACATACTATGTACTTTAAAAAAAGATAACAGATTTCCATTTTATTTTACATTTCCACTAAAGTGATACTATAACCAAAGCCTTTGGATTTTTCACCCAAATGTAGGACAATTAAGGTCTTGAAATTATAAGTTTTAAATGCTTTCCCATGCAAAGGAAATCCAAACAAGAGGGGATATAGGTATATGTATAGCTGATTCATTTTGCTGTACAGTAGAAACTAACACAACATTGTAAAGCAACTATACTCCAGTAAAAACTAACTAACTAAAGGCTTTCCTACCTTCTGGGTCAGTAAGAGAGAAGGAGGGTACAAGAAACAGATCTCAGGCAAAAAAGGGCATGTAGAATTGAAGCAAGTAAGCCTAGTTAAGTATCTGGGACATGGGCCCCTTTGAGAACCAGTGGAAAGCTATGTACCCTTCTTCTCAGAAAAATGTATGTGCATATATACAAAACAATTTCAAGGAGGTACTGGGCCAAAGATTAAGAATCCTTGTTCTAAACTCTACAGTTTTTTTACCAATCCAGTAAGATAAGTCCTAGTAATTACTAATCAATAATTCTGAATGGTGGGTTAAGGGAGAAAAGAAAAAAAAGGGAGTCTGGTGCTCGCTTCGGCAGCACATATACTAAAATTGGAACGATACAGAGAAGGTTAGCATGGCCCCTGAGCAAGGAAGACACGCAAATTCGTGAAGCCCACAAAAACTACTAAAGGCAATAATATTCCTTTTCACTGATTATTACTAATCTATAAATTAGACATGTATATGGAATAAAAAAGAAAAGCTGTAGACTCTTCTATTTTTAATTAACCTAGCTTGGCATTCAAACTGTTAAATAAAACAAATTCTAAAACTGTGCCTTGGTTTATTAAGCATAGTAAATATTTGTTGACAAAGTGACTTCCTGTTGATTTATAAAAGCAATTCCCAGGTAGAGGGCTTGTAATGGATATTCTTGCAGAGACTGCTAAACACTCCCTAGGAGCCAATCTCCCCTTCTTATTCACAGAGGCCTGGTTTTATTGCGAGTGGCAATATGTCTGGCTAAGAAACACTGCCTACCCTCCCTTGTAGGTAAGTTCTGGGCTTTCCAGGAGAGCTCTTGAGAAAGGGGCTGACTCAGCTGGCAAGCACCTTTGCCCTTTCTCCTTCTTCCTACTTGGAGTACAACTGTTCTGGCTGGGGCTGTGCTGCCCAAGTTATGGCCATGAAGTGAGCTTCAGAATGATAGCTGAAGATGGTTGAGAAGAAAGACAGAGGCACCTGGAACACTGGTGATATAATAGAACCACTATCACATACCATCTTGTTTAAGCAACTGTTTTTCAGATGTGTTAGTTGATGCAAGATGCTATTCTTAATGAAAACAGATACATACTGTTAACTTGCATAATGATCCTGAAAAAATAGTACTGGCCCTTCTTTTACAAAATAAGAAAACTGAGGCTCAGAGAGGTTGTACGTTTCCCAAGGTCACAGGGCTGTTACGTGGTGGACTTAAACTTCAGGTACATTTAGCTCTCATACTGCTCTTTGAGTATTAGTTATGCTATCATCACAGCCACTCATATGCATCCTTTGCATTGAAATTCCAAAGAAAACCATAACCAGAATACTCACTTTCCAAATACTGTGTATTTCATGTCCAGATGTGGCTGCTTCCCATAGGTGATGAAGAACTGAGATCCATTGGTGTTTGGGCCATTATTAGCCATAGATACAACACCTCTAACGTTGTGCTGAAAAAGAAAGACCAAAGTATTAGCTGTTTTTACATAAGTATTCCAAATAAAGGACTGAAACAAGACGTGCACTCTACCTTCCCAGTATTTAAGGGGTCATGTAATCAGCTTCCGTTAGGGCTAATCCCAATGCTCAGTTTCTGTATTATCTGTATCTCTGGAAGCTTGTATCTAAGTTGCTTATATATATATATATATATATATCAAATCACATTCCCCAATTAATTTCACCTTTGGAGAAGCAGAGCCACAAACACTTTTGGCAATACCAATGTATAATAGAAATAATCCTTACATTTATATTAAGGAACAGTGTGCTGGCATGAAATGATCAGGCAGACAACAAAACCAAAATCCCCATAATCTCTTCACATATACACTGGACTCTGGCTAGTTTCCTTATCTGTAAAACAAGGGAGGTTGGACTAATTCAGCGGTTTATTCATAATTCAAATGCTCACAAGGGTTACCAGATAATAAATTGATAATTGGGCAGAATGTAAACATTAGAGAATGGTGGAGCCTGGCAAAAGGAATAGTGTAGCTCTTGCCTCATGACGTTTACAATCTTTTTAAACCAATGGCCATAGAGAATGCATCTGTGGGTCTTCCATCCACGGGCTGTCAGTTTATAACCCCAGGACTGGATGATCTAAGGAAGGCCTTGTCTAACTCTAATATTCATGATACTATTTGCTATACAAGGGACTGTGTACAGGAATTAAAAGGACTTTACTGATAAGATTGAAGACAGAACTGTCTTACAGGGAGATGCCCAAATATAAAATATACTAAAGGTAACTCCAGTGATTACTCTATCTTTAGCTATTCATCAGGGGACACTAATAAGACAAACTACATAGATGCAGCTTCATATAGATATTAATGCTTTACCGTTCCCTAAAAGGTGACTACCAATAACATATGTAGTGTTTGATACATACATAAGAATATATGTACCATTTACAACTTAATAAAATCAGCACCCATTAACCTATTTCCAAGTTTTAAGAATTAAAATTTACCAAACTGTTGCATATGCCTATGTGCTCCTCTCAGTTATTACTTCAGCCTCTCCAAGAGGTAACCAGTGTTCTGATATCTTTACATTCAATACATGCCTATACAATATATTGTTTCCTTTTGCTTGTTTCTGAGCTCTATAAAATAGTATCATACTATTTGTAGTCTTCCGGGAAATGATTTCTACACTTAACATGTTTCTAAGATTCATACATGTATACATAGCTGTAGTTCTGATTTCTTTCACTGTATAACATTTTACTTCTGAATATACTACAACTTGTCCATTCAAAGATCAATAAACATTGTTTCTAGACTTTTGTTATTACCAATAGTACTCTAGGAACACTCTTGTACATGCTTCCTAGTGCACATGTACATGAATTTCTCTAGGGTAAACATGTGGGAATGGAATTTCTGGGTTAGAGTATGTGAATATTCAATACGCATCCTCAACTCTGGTATATAAGAAAATAGTTCTTAACCTTGTCTGTCTAGGAATCACCAGGGAACCTTAAAATACAATCGAGGTCCTAATCAGTTCTACTGACTTTTTCTCTAGACTTAGGGAGGTAAGGCCCTAATCTTTTATAGTTTTAAAACTTCCACAGGTGAATCTGTAACAGCAAAGTTTGAAAACCACTGGCATAGGATGACAGATTAGTACCAAGGAAGCAGTCATTCATTAATGCCTAAAAAATCATTTCATTTCCAATTCAGAAAAAGGATGACTTTTTTTTTTTTTTTTTTTGCGGTACGCGGGCCTCTCCCGTTGCGGAACACAGGCACCAGATGCGCAGGCTCAGCGGCCACGGCCCATGGGCCCAGCCGCTCCGCGGCATGTGGGATCTTCCCAGACTGGGGCACGAACCCGTGTCTCCTGCATTGGCAGGCGGACTCTCAACCACTGCACCACCAGGGAAGCCCAATTATTTTAACCTGTATTATTACAAAATATGTATCAAAGTTTCCAAGTGTAAACATAGCATGAAAAAATAGATTTTGAAGTATTTTGGATTTACCTTAAGATATTCACTGTATTCATCTTCAAATTTCTTGCCCCAGATACTGCTACCTCCTCTTCCAGTACCTATATTACAAGACAAACAAATGAAAAAATGTATTTAATTAAAGCTGAAAAAGGGTTCATTTTCTAAACATAAGGGCTAGTTTATATAGCATAACCCTTTAAATACAAATAAAATTTGGTACGTCCTCTCTTACTTACCAAAATTGAACTTTAAAAACCATAAAAATAAAATCTCTCTACAAAAACCAAAACCCCTCCTTATCAATATTGTTCATACTTTAGGGCTCGGTGCTAGTAGCTTCTGCTTAAAAATTTCTTGCTAAGGTAAGTTATAAAAACCCCACATGCTTTTATTTTTCTATTCTTTGTCTAGTCTCTTCTTCACACTACATACCGTAGGTATATACCCTAGGTATTACTGGAATAACTTACCTGTCGGATCTCCTGTTTGAACCATGAAACCCTTGATATTTCTATGAAATATACAGCCATTGTAGTAATTACTGGCACAAAGAGCCAAGAAATTCTGAAGAGAATAAAAACAATGATTGAGAAATGATGTAGCAGAAGATAAGAACCATTTAAGATTTAAGAATATTTAAGATAAAGAACCAATTGTAGGGACTTCTCTGGTGGCGCAGTGGTTAAGAATCTGCCTGCCAATCCAGGGGACATAGGTTCGAGCCCTGGTCCAGGAAGATCCCACATGCCGCGGAGCAACTAAGCCTGTGCGCCACAACTACTGAGCCTGCGCCCTGGAGCCCGCACACCTAGAGACCATGCTCCACAACAAGAGAAGTCACTGCAATGAGAAGCCCACTCACCACAACTAGAGAAAGCCTGCGCACATTAACAAGGACAGAACACACCCCAAAAAAAAGCCAATTGTATTTACTGAAAACACTACAACAACCTATTTAAATGATATCTTTTAGGCATTACTTTGGATAATGTCACTGCCTAAAACTCTTCAATAGCTTCCTTCTGTTCTTGAAATAAAATGCAAAATCCTCAGGAGAGCCTAGCAAGCCCTGCATGACCTAGCCTACTTCTACATCATCATAATCATAATAACTCCTTCCCTGCTGCTTACTGTGTTAACCCCATCAGGCTCCTGAAAATTCATCCAAAAAACACAGGCTTTCCCACCTTAAGGCCCTTGTACCTGCTATTTCTATACCTGGAATGTTCTTTTTATAAGTCCTTCCAGAGAGATGCCTTCATTACCTTTCGCACTCAGTTTTTTGTTTTTTTTTTTGTGGTACTGCGGGCCTCTCACTGCTGTGGCCTCTTCCGTGTGGAGCACAGGCTCCGGACGCGCAGGCTCAGCGGCCATGGCTCACGGGCCCAGCCGCTCCGTGGCATGTGGGATCTTCCCGGACAGGGGCACGAACCCATGTCCCCTGCATCGGCAGACGGACTCTCAACCACTGCGCCACCAGGGAAGCCCTCGCACTCAGTTTTTAAAGCATCACTTTCTTGGCTAGGCTTGCCCTCACCTTCTTTTAAATAAATCCTTTCCCATTATTCTCTATCTCACAACTTTATTTCCTTCAAAGCATTATTACCCTCTAGAATTACTTTTTTTCTAGAATGAATCTTCCCCCCTGCCTATCTTCCCAGGTAGAATATTAGCTCCACAATAGCAAGGCATGTCTCTTGTTCATCACTGTAGTTCTACTTGCTGGCAAGATAGCCTTCCATAAATAAATTACTTAATGAACGAATATATATAGCTGACTCTTTTTCCTTCTTGTATTTCTCTCTCTCTCTTTTTTTTTTTTGGCTGAGCCACGAAGCTTGCAGGATCTTAGTTCCCTGACCAGGGACTGAACCTGGGCCATGGCAGTGAAAGCACCAAGTCCTAACCACTGGACCGCCAGGGAACTCCCTCTTTTTTCCTTGTTTAAATGACAAGGATAGAACCTTGTCATTTAAACAAGTAAAATAATGTATGGAACAATTCTCTTACCTAATATCTAATGATTATTTATATTTCTTGAGGAAAATGAGCCAAAGGAAAAAGATACCAGCCACTCTGTGGTTAGAGAAAAATTCTCTACCCTTTCTTTGATCCAACTTTGACATCAGAAAAAGAAGTGTAAATTAGACCAGAAATTATCATTGCGGGTTTTTCTTGACAATAGTTTTATAGAAACTTTTTTTTGGATGTTTTTTAAGTTAGATGACTCAATTTCAAAATGGTTATCCTGTTGCATTAACTCATCTTTTATACATACATTACGGTACTCACTTCACATGTTTTGGGTGTCCTCTCACAGAAGACTTCTATTTTAATATCACCTACATCTGTATGCAGTGTCACCGACTAAAAAGGAGAGAGAATGTGAGAACGAATGAGATTTCTTCAGGTGACTTTGTGCACTGTATCATTTCCCTAACTAGATATTAAAGATAACTACCTGAATAAAAACAGAAAGAAACACCATTTCAGAGATGATCCACCCACACAGTAGCTCTGAGAGATAAGTTGTATTTCTTCAAAATTTATTTCAGCAGTAGAAAAAAAATTCCAGAAGAGAAATATAAATGTTAAGGTAAAATGATATCTATGCTAAAATATTTGGGAGCAAATATTGTGATGGAAATAATCATTTTAAGTTTGAATTTTTCATCAATAAAAATAAACAGTTTTTATGTTAGTATTACTGACTTAAGTGGCAATTCACTGTCATTAATATATATTGAAAAATAGTAAGAAAATGACTTTTATAAACATAGTTTCCACCATTTCCCTTATGTAATTTAATTGCGAGAGACTTAAAAAACAATTTCTTTCTCCACTAAAGACAACAGACATAAAAAGCGTCAGTGTTTTCAGATCGTAAAAGTGCAGAGGTAACCACAGTACTTCTTCTTGCTTGCTTTTTGTTTAATCTGTTGTTTTGGTAGCTAGAATATTCCTTTTGTTACCCCATTCCAGAGAGGGTGGAAAACTTCTGAGGCTTCCTTTTAAAATTCTCTTCTTACAATAGTTGTCCACCTTAGATCAAGAGCAAAAGGATCCAATTAAAATGATCACACCTGGCTATGATCTTCTGACCCTGCAACACCACCTTTCCATCTCTATCCATCTTGTATCAATCTTTTTCCATAAAAGGTAAATTCTGTGTTTTAAGTGAAAAACATAAAGAATCTGAAATCACTTTACACTGTATGCTTCTACAGATTATCATTGCTCTGTTTTGTCACTGAAATTTCCATGCAGTTTTATTTCCCTTGACTCAATTTCTAAAAATTACTTATAATGAAAGACTTTCATAAGAATTCTGTAAAATTTACCATTTTTCTTCTTGATGCTTTCAGGAAGTACTGTTACTTTCTCAGTTTACTGAGAGAAGTTCAAAAACGAGCCCTATTTCCAAAAGAAAAAACAATTAAATTCATTTCCCTCTCTTAACTCACACTTGCTCATCTTTACCGCATATTTAAGAGAAAAAGTCTCGATGAGCACCCATCCTGCCCCAAGTAATAAAAAGCTGGTTATGAAAGCGATCAGGCGATACTACTCGTCTCAAGCCCCTCAACTCCTACTTCCACTGCTCACTCTTCACGGGCCGGGTACATTCCCGCCTTGGGGTCTAGGTACTGGGTGTTCCCCTTGCCTGGAACACGTACACTCAGACATCTGTACGGCTATTTTCCTCACCTCCAAGTCTCTTCTCAAAAGTCTCGTCTGGACCTGATAACTCTATTTAAACCTGCCTTAACGATTTCCTTTTCCATAGCACTTAGCACTAATATACTCTATGCTTTACTAATGGTCTTATTTCAACAACACCCTCCCCCGTACAGAATACTCACTGGAAGCAGTCCAAGAACTAACATACACAGCGCTCTGCGAGCATTTGAGTTAAGTGAATGAAAGAATAAGTGACGTTACCCCATACTTACTTAATCACTTCGATTAGCACAGCGGTTGTTAAAAGAGCAAAGGTGCAATCGCAGTTGCCCCCACGGATCTGCAGATTCGAAATTAAGTTTCTTCAGGCCACCGGAAGTCGAGCAAGGGACCCATTAGAGAGAACGTCCCTCACCTGCTCGCCTCCTCCCTCCGCCCCCTCCTCCCTGTCTCAAACCAAACGACTAGAACTAGGGAGACACCAATTCCTCCCCACCAGGTACACTTTTGACTATGAAAGGGTCGAAATTATCTTTTAATAATTACACTAGGACAACAAGCGTAACTCTGGCCATCCTCTAGAAGTGCCTTGGGCTCAGACGCAAAGCCGGAAAGACCACCTCCGACCGGCTCCCCCGCCCCGCCCACTTTCACGAAGCCGGGAAGTTCCGCACAGGACCGGAAACAGCGCTCGCGGAGTTCCCGGGGCTGGTGAGTCTTGGGCGGGTTAAGTTTCAGCGTGAGTAGCTGAGGCCTTGGCGGCGGGCTGTGGTTTACGAACCTGCTGCAGCGAAAGGTGGCAGGGGAGGAGATAGGCGCAGAAAACCGGCTTGCCGTGGGAGAGCATAGCGCTCTAGAGGGGCCGGGGACTTAACTCACGGACTTATCGGCCGTGCCACCTGCGCTCTTCATTGTTCTAGAAGAGGCCTGAAGGGGGACTGAAACAAGAGGGCGCAGTTTGCAGGCTGTAAAGTGGGCCTTGCTAATGAATCTTAATAATAAATAGTGCAGACTCTAGGCCAGGCATTGTTCCCAGCTTCACGGTTAAATCTTGCAACCACGCTGTGAGCTGGGCACTATTATTTGCACCCTTCAGAGGTGGAAACCACAGAGGTAGAGTCCTCAGAGACAGCTGTGGCTTTGGGAGTCAGTCTGGTTTTAGAGTCGGTGCTCTTCCCACCATGCTCTGCCACCTTCCATTCTCGTTAATTGTGACTTAAAGGTACTCAGCTTCGTAGGAAATGGGGAGTGTTTTGTTACTTACAAGGGCTCCTTCAAATGTAACAGTAGGTAACAGAACCGGCGTGGTGGCCCATTAGAGCTTCACTTTAGGGCTTGCCAGATTTAGAAGAGTCTGGAGAGTGGAGTAGTATCAGGACGTGGAATCTGGAGAGTGGAAGTGGTATAAGGACCCTTAGAAGATCTTCCAAGACCCCAGGTTCGAGTGGTTCCACCTCACTCCAAACTGTATATTGAATAAGTGCATTAAATATTTCTTTTTTATTATTTTATTTTATTTTTGTCTGCATTGGGTCTTCGTTGCTGCACTCAGGCTTTCTCTACTTGCGGCGAGCGTGGGCTACTCTTGATTGCGGTGTGCAGGCTTCTCCTTGCGGTGGCTTCTCTTGTTGCAGAGCCCAGGCTCTAGGCATGCGGACTTCAGTAGTTGTGGCTCACGGGCTCTAGAGCGAGGGCGCAATAGTTGTGGAGCACGGGCTTAGTTGTTCCACGGCAGGTGGGATCTTCCCGGACCAGGTCTCGAACCCGTGTCCCCTGCATTGGCAGGCTGATTCTTAACCACTGTGCCACCAGGGAAGTCCCAATATTAAATATTTCTGCGTACAAATATTGAAAAAAATTAGCTTTTGAAATTGAGTTATGAGTATTTCATTAAATTTACAATTGCTTTCTTGTTAATTATTTTGCATACCGTGAAATGCTTTTCTTCAAAAACAAAAGTGTTCATAGATACTACATTTAAGAATGGAGCTGACAGTGTTATCTTTTGTATTGGATATAGATGTCTATAAGGCTTACAGACTTTGTGGGCCCTTTACGTCTTCACCTCTCCCACCTCTTGATTCTGGCCTTTGTGTGGCAGGTAGCTGTTGGCTCAGGGGCAGCAGCTCCTGCCCTTTGCTGCCTTGACCCTACCCATTCACAGAGTGACTCACCTGTGCATCCCATGGTTCTGGCTGCCGATAAAACACTTAACTTTTTTTTTTTTTAAACTAATATATTTTTTTGAATTTTATTTTATTTATTTTTTATACAGCAGTTTCTTATTAGTTATCTACTTTATACATATTAGTGTATACATGTCAATCCCAATCTCCCAGTTCATCCTACCACCACCCCTACCCCGCCACTTTCCCCCCTTGGTGTCCGTACAAAACACTTAACTTTTTAAATATGTTATTGTTACTCTTTTGATAAAGCACTTTTTAATGTCAGTATGTACCACCCTAACTCCAGATTCTGCTATGATGGGGGAAGGGGGACTGTGTCAGTCTGTATAGTAAGCATTTAGTGCTGGCCTATGTTGGTGATCCTGAGATACAGAAAAGGTAGTTTCTGTCCTCCAGTAGCTTTAGCGTACTGGGGGAGACAGACAAACAGGAATATAATATTATGAGAATAACTAGTGCAAAAGCAGGTGGGACAGGGAGAGGGACGACACTGAAAAGGAAGGTTTGTCAAGAAAAGCTTTATTTAGGAAGTCGAAAGGGTCTTGGAAGGAAGGGTAATATTTAGAGAAATGGAGAAGGGTGGTTGAAGCACAGGTGGGGAGAACAAGAACAAGGGTGTGGGCTTCCCTGGGGGCGCAGTGGTTGGGGGTCCGCCTGCCGATGCAGGGGACACGGGTTCGTGCCCCGGTCCGGGAAGATCCCACATGCCGCGGAGCGGCTGGGCCCATGAGCCATGGCCGCTGAGCCTGTGCGTCCGGAGCCTGTGCTCCGCAGTGGGAGAGGCCACGACAGTGAGAGGCCTGCGTACCGCAAAAAAAAAAAAAAAAAAAAAAAAAGAACAAGGGTGTGTGGGAGGGGGCAGGGAGGAGGAAAGGAACATAATTGTGTGTTGTGCACCAGGTTTGTGCAAGGTGACTTAAACATATTAATCCATTTACTCCTCCAGACGGCCTGTGAGGTAAGTTATAGTGTCTCCATTTTGTAGATGAGAAAACAAGCTCAGAGAGGTTAAATGACTTACCTATGATACCATGTGCCAGTAAGTGGCAGAGCCAGTATTTGAAGCCAGGCACGTAGGACTACAGCTCTTTTGCTCATATGCTTTGCTGTCTCAAAGGTCCATTTTCTGTGTTTTGACTTCAGATACTCAGTTTTACCTGACTTCTGCATGTTGTCATCTCGTGTACGCCTGGTCCCCACGACAGTCCGCCTAATCCATTCCCTGATCTGCAGTTCTTCCCGTTCCTTCATGGATCTAAAGACTCTCCTTTCCTCCTTGAATGACTTTGCATCCCTCTCATTTGCTGAGGGTTGGGACAATGTTGGGTTACTGGTGGAACCAAGCCCACCACACACTGTAAACACGCTCTTCCTAACCAATGATTTGACAGAAGAAGTGATGGAGGAGGCACTGCAGAAGAAGGCAGATCTCATTCTCTCCTACCATCCACCCATTTTCCGACCTATGAAGCGCATCACCTGGAAAACCTGGAAAGAGCGCCTGGTGATCCAGGCACTGGAGAACAGAGTCGGGATCTACTCTCCTCACACGGCCTATGATGCTGCTCCGCAGGGAGTCAACAACTGGCTGGCTAAAGGGCTTGGTGAGAAGCCTCTTGTTCTTTCATATTCAATATTTTCCCTACCAGTGCTTTGAAATTTTAGAATGTATTTCCAGTAGTGTTTTAAGTGCTTTAAGGATAGGGACCATTATTCTACTTTCATATATTTTAAAATAATCTTGCTGAAATCTGGCAATTAAATTGCATTTGAAAAATGAAACTTTTATCCTTAGTGAACAAGGACAGCATAGGAAATTTTCATTTTTGATGGAGCTTTGTGATTCCTTACTCATGTGGCACAGTGCCTGGCACTCAGGCACTCCAGAAACGCTTGTTAAACTGAACTGAAAGCTTCAAGCCTCTCCAAAATATACTTCATATGTCAGTCAAATAGAGTTTTACTGAATTAGTCCTTATGCCCAGCACAATGAGGGATTTCAGCATATGTGTTTTAGCAAGTCTTTTTAGTTTACTCATTTTGGGCTGAAGCTTCTGTGATGATATAATCTGGATTAATGTGGTCAAGTAAATTATGAGCATCTGCGACTTGAATCATAGTTTACATGAGTGAATTTAGTAAGCAGTCACAATTCTATATGTTATGTAAAAATTCATGAGTCAGTCTTGTCCAACTTTTTGTGATATTTACGAGTCTTCTGGAAAATCTGAAAATAAATTTGATTATGTATGTCTGTACTAAATCCCTAAATTACGGGGATTGTTGAATGTATATATAAGGGATATGTATGTGTGTGTATATTATATAAGCATCTGAGAATGAATCTTTTCAAAAATACTCATTTCTTAGAAGTTTTGCCCATAGTGGTTTATCTTTCTAATTTTTAAATAAACCCACAAAAACTCCAATTTCTGACAATTTTTTCTTTCTAGGAGTTTGCACCTCCAGGCCCATCCATGCTTCCAGAGCTCCTGACTACCCCACGGAGGGAACACACAGAGTAGAATTCAATGTTACCCACACCCAAGACGTGGACAAAGTCATTTCTGCAGTGAAAGGAATTGCAGGTGTATCTGTCACTTCTTTTTCTGCTAGGTACAATATTTTTTCCTCTTTTTGTGTATATTAATTTGTAAGAATCTTTCTTACAGATTCTATAACTCTGTTATTTAAGTTTGCAGCAAATCACTTTCCTAGGGTGGGTTTACAAAGCAGCATACTTCTCATTTGCCTGCGGGTCCCTAAGGAGAACCATGGGATCTTTTCAAAGCAATAAAAATGATAAGTAACACTTATTGACTATTTTCTATGTAGGAGAGACTATATCACACATCCTACAGTATTTCTAGTCCTCCTGGCAATGTTGAAAGTTATTTTTACCTTAGGGTATGCAGATATACCCTAGTTATATGCTGATAACATAGGTTTACTTTTATCAGTTCCCTGCAAATGATGATTCCCAAACACTTGAAAAATACATTAAAGTGCCTCTTGGAAGGTCAATCATTTATTTAATTAGGGCTGAGATACCAAAATGTTGCTTCAGGGACATCCCTGGTGGCGCAGGAGTTAAGAATCCGCCTGCCAGTGCAGGGGACACGGGTTCGGACCCTGGTCCGGGAAGATCCCACATGCCGTGGAGCAACTAAGCCCGCATGCCACAACTACTGAAGCCCGCACACCTAGAGCCCATGCTCCGCAGCAAGAGAAGCCACTGCATTGAGAAGCCTGCATACCGTAACGAAGAGTAGCCCCCGGTTGCTGCACAGCAACAAAGACCCAATGCAGCCAAAAATAAATTAATTAATTAATTTTAAAAAAAAATGTTGCTTCATTAGAGATTTTTTTGGGGGCTGATTTACCCTAAT